CATCTGAGCCGCTGCATACCTGACAAGTCTGAATCAGTGTCTGACTCATATTTGTATGAAGAATCAGAATCGCCATGATCCACCTCTCCAAAATCATCATCTGCCTCTACATCTACATCTTCATCATCATATCGTTGGTTGTCATCATCAGTTTCTGAAGCATAGCCATCATACTCCCCCTCATGGGTGTCCTTTGGCGCCTCTTCATGATCTTCATGATCATTATCTTTTGCATTACCAACGTCCCCTCCTTCCTTTGAGGCATCTTCCCCAGTCCAACGAGAAGCAACTAGGCGGCCTAACTCTTCCCTTGATAATGACTCAGTCTTTTCTGATGCATCCTTGCCCTGCAGATACAAGACCCATTAGCTCCTAGTAAAAGATACCAGCTAGAAACTGTCAGAACACTTGGAAAATTTTGGCTAGTCATGATTGAATATTCCAAGTGAAAACCCTAAAAAATAATATCAGACAAATTTAAAGCTTTTTATGTTAACACACTACTGTATTCGATACCTATAATCAAAGTTCAATCATGGTCTCACCTAACAAAGTGTATATATTATCAACAGCTCTTCATAAGCAAAACATATAAGCCTTGAAGTTCATTATTATATTCTTTTCATGAATAAAAAGTTATCAACAACTGAAATCTGTCATACGACTATTTCTAGTTGACTTCATTTCTCCTACATATAGAAAAATGTTAACTACAACAGGAGACGGCTATTTGGTGGCAGATGCTAGAAGGAAAATTCTACTTATTTTGGCATTGATACTACACTCTTCACACCATGGAATTTCCACAATGTGTGCCATACCATCAGCAGTCTAAACCTTGATGTAGTACCATACACGTCCCCATGGTAGATCCTTTTTTTTTTTTCAGTTTTGAACTTAATATATGAAATGATGTTCATATTAAAATATTTTGGTGAAGGATACCTTTCAGCCGCCAATCAATTAATAAATCAACCAAATATTGTGCAACCATAATTCAATACCTCATCAGGAGGCACCTTGCTCCCAGAATCAGAGTCAGTTTCAGATATAGCAACAGACTCTTCCTTCTGCTTTACTGCATGCTGCATTGAGATAATTTTGAAATAAACCCTTAATCTAACATGTAATGTAAGAACTGAAAGCTCCAATTCAACAGATTTTTGTTAAAGAAAACTAGTTCAAAGACTTGGTTTACCTGTTCTACACCCTCAACCAAAGATCCTTTATGTTCAGGAGTATCAATATGATCATCTTTGGCAGCTAAGTCATCATGGTTCTCTGCTGTATCCTATGACAACACTGTCAATGTGAGAACTAGAAGAAAATAAACTATCTACACTACCAGTAAATAGTGATTATGGTCAAAGACTAATTTCAAGTGACAGAACTTATTTTATAATGTCATAATCAGTCTTGATTTCAGTTGCATGCAGGAAGAGTCTCCTATGTGAAAAAAAATCATGTACGTGACAGATAAGTCGCAACTTCAATCAGCAGAAAGACGTTTTCAATGCAGCTGAAGGAAGAATATATACCTTAAGTGTGAGATATCTACAGTCTACATATATATTTTCAAAGTTCTCCAAATAGCACTTAAAGTATAGAACAAAGCAGCCCATGTGAGTAATTAACCTAACCTGATATGAATGAGAATCCTCCAAAATCCCAATTTTATCTTCATATGTACTTTCTATAGGTTTATGTTCACCGTCAGAGTTCTCCACAACCTCACTTCTGTCGTGCTTAACTTCCTCTTCAACTTTGTTTTTCTCCGGGTTAGCTTTCTCTTCGGCTTCTTTTCTCTCCTGCTCTTCTTTTTCCTTCTGTAACCGTTCCTTCTCTTCTGCCTTCTCTATTTGTTCTTTACGCTCTACACAATAGGTGAGACAAAAGAACTGTTAAGACATTTAACCATTATATTACCAGATAATCATAGAGATGTTAAATTATCTATGTTTATCAATTCGGCATGGACAGGTGGTCAACTACCTAGAAAATGCATAGAGAGGGTGAGAGGGGTGAAACAAAAACAAACTGTTACATAAGATGTGGTGTCACTTTCTGGTAAATTATCAAATTCTTAAATTCCCTTAATAGAAAATATAGTCTTTAAAATATACATAATATACCTATTGATTTTATACGTACAACACAGCGAGTTTTGACTAAATAAAACCACAAATAAATAACCTGCAAGCCTAAAAACCTGGGGATGATGATGATGATGTCGTAAAAATAAGACATGAGATGACAGAACTATACCTTTCAGCTGTTCAACAAGCCTTTTCAGTATTTTTTCTTCATTTTGCAACTTTGATAGTTCTGCCTCGTCTTTGGCCATAGCTACTCTGGCTTGTTCAACTTCCTGCTTCCGTACAGCAACCCCCTCGTGGTAAGTAGCAATCTTCTTTTTCAGCTTATCTCTGGCCACTTTCCCAGCCTCCCAACATGTATTTGGGCACTTTACTTTACCATCATACTCATCACTCCCATCACAGCAGTCTCCAGATTGCAGACAGGTAAAGATGCGTAAGAGATGAAATCAATCAGCCAGGTAAAAAGAGTTATATGGTTCAGTTATTAAGGAATTGAGAACTGGTTTTCTTAAGTTTCAATCGTGATAATGATGCTTTTTCTATACACATCTCTTTCCCATTAATTTAGAAACAGCATTGCAAGAATTAACAGCCTCCCATTAAATATTTTTAATGTTGCCTACTCGCCTTGCAAAAACGAAAATCAAAATAAAACACAAAAGTGCAGCAAGTCTGTGATGGTACACATAACATATAACTTCTAATGCTATTTGTACTGTCAGAAAACTTACCACAAATTCCATCATTCACTCTAGATGAAAATACCAGGAGAGGTGTGTGTCCCACATTCTGACAATAGAATTTTCCACCTGGGCATGCAGATGTACCTACAATCCATAAAAAAACAATATGCCTTTTCGTCAACAAGAAAATGTTGTATATATCAACAAGTAAATCAAATCCAAGTTTAACCATCAACGAAACCATATATCAGGAAATATCTAATGAACCAGACATATAAAAATCACGCCAAAATATAGCAAGAGCTAAAGGCAACCAAATACATTTAGAGAGGCCCATTTTGCTAAGAGAATGTAATGAAAGAACAACCAAATCTAAAAGCAAACAAGTGAACGAAACAATATGCAATTGCAAACGGCAACTGGTAGAAATTATGGTGTGGTTACTAATTTAGATTACAAATACACAGGGGCAAGCAGCTCAAGAAAAATGTGATATTAGAGAAACTAATATAAATAAATTGAGAAAGAAGGAATGAGGACCAGGCTCGTCAGTGCCATCAGGGCAATCGCAGAAGTCATCGTTGAGCTGAGCTCTGCTGAATTTCTTGGATCCATCTTTGCATTTTATCACCTCCGATGATTTGTAGTATTTCTCATCTGGGCATTCAAACAAAACCCAACAGTCAGTACCCACCGCACTCAGATTATTACTATTTTTTATATTTTTAGAGACTTAAAATATCTGTATATATGTATTAAAAAAAAATATGAAATCATAATAATGAGAAAGAGATTGCAGCACTTGGTGGACCTTCGGGGGAAATTCCGAGAAATTGGTTCTTGGGAGAAGAAGATGCTGATCTAACAATTGATTCTGAGAGTAGACACAAAACGCACAGCACCACGGCAATGAAGCGCATCTTTACCTTCGTCTTCACTTTGTTGTTATTAATCGATGATTCGGACTATTAGCTGTAATTGCGTTTCTTTCTCAGTCCTCAGACAAACGAGACCAGAAATAGAGAGGGGAGAGAAATAAATGGGCTTAGGCAGAGGACTTCGACGAGTACTCGTCGTATGGCGTTTCGAGCTGTAAAACGACGCCGGCTTCACGAATATGATACACTTTCCATTGAACCAGCACCAAGTTAACGGGAGTTACCTTTTTTTCTTTTTCTTTTTTAACCCCTTTCGTTTACTTTTCTTTTACCAGAAGTTAACGGGAGTTTTACCATGAGTTGATATGAACTGCTACTGTGACAACTCGAAAATTTAACTGCGACTATGTCTTCTTTTATCAATGGGGTTTGTATAGTTGGGCGATTTTGATGTTGCCAAGAGAAGTACCGTTATCATAAGAGCTAGTTGGTTTTAATAATATTGGAAGAGAAAAATTTGAATACACGACTTCAAGTATGTGCATAATTACTCTTAATTACTTGAATTATAAGCCTTTTTTAATAAGTCATTTAAGGGATAAAAAAAGTTAGGTCAATATAACCCATTTATGTGTGCCTAAAAGTTGAATGAGATACTCTTGTAATTACTTAACCAGTCCAATTCGACCTAACCCTACCAAACGGGACCTAAGGTCATGAAGTTTCTCTAATGGTTGCTATTGTTTCTTACTTGCAAACCATAGGAACATCTTCCATAAAAACAAAAACTATAGGAACATCGTAATGCAATTATATTAGGCAACATGTTTTGAGCCCAATCAAAGTCATATATGTGGCGATTAAATTTATAAATTAATTATTAATCTAATAATATTTAGAGTCAAATTCATACATGAACTATCAATTTTTTTTATAAATGCATACACTAACTCTTATAAACTCGGCCGACTCATTATGGATGAAGTCCAATGAATGACTTGTTGGGAAAAAATTATCATATCTACTTAGCAAGAATTCTTCTCTGGTTTAAGTTACAAATTATAAAATACTATGATAGTATAATCACGTAGTACATTTTATACACGTTATAATATCTATGGATGATATTATTTATTTTCTCCTCTAAGTAAGTAGTATCGATATGTATCACGTAATATTCTATAAAAGAAAACTCACAAAATGATCTAAAACACAATATTTTGTTATTTTTAAAACGGCCACAGAAGAAGTATATTGCACATGATCTCTGTCCTTTTTCTTTTTCTTTATTTTTTTGGCCGGGGCATGCGCCACATATATCCCTAAAACCCCACAAAAATCGCTGACTGGAAATATACATAATTACATACATAGTCAGTGACGGACGCATTATCTGAATATCCGGGGCTGAACAATGGAGGGAAGCTCGCTTCTCAGTCACAGCTGCTGCTCTTCTCCCACTTTAAAGCCCCATCTATCTTTCTCATTAAGTTTCACTCTCTCCTCTTCTTCGTCTTCTTCTTTGCTCTTCGGAAAATCCCATCTTCTGGGTTTAATCCAAAGACCATTGTTGGCCACCGTGTCGCTATCCTCCCCTCGAACCTCTCTCCGCACTTCGACCTTCACTCTCGACGAAGCTCTGGAAAAGCCCAACAGTGATTCAAGAGAGATGTTGCCCAAGATTGATAAGAGTGGCAGATTTTGCAGCCCCAGAGCCGCCAGAGAGCTCGCTCTGTAAGTCTTATCCTATTGTATTACTTATTCATATTCTTCATTTACTGTAAACTGGGACCGTGTTTGTTTCTTGGGGACATGGTGAAGGCGAAGGTGAGGAAAATGCTTACAGAAATAGTAATTATGAGAATTATTGTTTCATTTCCAGCCTTAACCATGATTAACCCAGTTTACTTCAACGCAGGTCGATTGTTTATGCTGCTTGTTTAGAAGGTTCTGACCCAGTACGGTTATTCGAAAAGCGAATGAATGTCCGTCGAGGTACCTCTCCCTGCCTTATGGAATTTTGCTTTGTCCATCTCTCTTGTTGTTGCTTGTAATCTTTTCTGGATGAATCCTTCCATCACTCGAATATGCTTATGTTGTGAATCACTTATCACACAATTTATATTTCCAGAACCTGGGTATGAATTCGACAGGGCTTCGTTGCTTGAATATAATCCCATGAGCTTCGGAGGACCCCCTGTCACAGTTGAAACTGTCGAAGAAGCAGATGAGCTTCTGCGGAATGATGAAAAGGAATCTGCAATTGGTAGACATCTGACAATTTAGACTTCACATGCTCTCTAATTACATTTTTATCTCCTTTTTCGTTTTTTCAAATATCACATGGTCCTTTGCTAAAACTTCATCTCTGTGCTAGAAACTATTTTGAAATAAGTTGATGGCGACTTGGGAGAAGTAAATTGCATATGCCTTACTCTCAAGTTCCATATAGCTTGTTACAAAAAACTTAGAGACCCTATCAAAAGTATACATTTTGGAGTTTCTTTTCTCGTAGTAGCTTGTAAAAAATCTTTATGTGATTTGATGATCAGTTCACTCACATCATTTTCTTACAATGAAATATACCTTTTTCCTTTCATCTGATCAAATAACAGCAATTTGCAACTCAGGCTAAAATTTGAACAATAGCTTATATGTTATACAACTGGACTTGGGATGATTTATAATGGGAGGCAATATGTGATAATGCTAATTTTTTCGTTCAAATAGTTTTTCTCTTCTTTCCTTTTGCATGGAGGGGGTTACTTACCTGAAATCTATATGCATTTTCAAGAACTTGTGATGAATAGTTCCATAACTTACTTCACAAAGTTGTTAGGTCTCATGAGCTCTAACTTCCTTCGACTTGTGTTCCTTCCATGCTCTAAGGAACTTCTCCTGTGTTGTAGCTTTACCAAAATTTAGTTGATGGGTTTTTTTTTTGCTGCTTAGTTTTCCATGCCACTATTATTTCCAGAGGAATAAAGTCTGTTTACTTTTTTCTTCTCAGAAGCAGAAGTTCTTGCTGCTCCTCCAAAATTGGTATACAGCAAACTGATTTTGCGGTAAACCTTCTAACTGTATTGATCTAAATTTCAGTGTGTAACTGTAACTGTTATGTAGCAAGTGGTGGAGCATGTCATTTTCAGTTTTCCTTCCCATTATTGCATATACGTGTGTGTTGAGGGTGATAGGGGTTAGAGAGCGACTAACTATGTCTTTCTTTTTGTTACAGATTTACTAGGAAACTTCTGGTTGCAGTCATGGATAAATGGGACAGTCATGTGCTTGTCATTGACAAGGTTGCCCCTCCAAATTGGAAGGTCAGATACATATTTGTGCTTGTTGTGGTACATTGGGTATGGTTGTGCATTGACTGTCCAGTTTTTTATTTGCTTTAACCTCGATGGGTCTTTTTTCTTTGTCACCTGCTTGCTTGGGGTTCACTTCCATAATTAATGTTTACACTTGTTCTTAATCGGCTCAAAGTGTGTATGAAAAACATACTAACTCTGAACTTAAAGGTAAATATCAGCATAGCTGGCTTATTTTCTATATTAACCATTCTGCATTGTCCTTGTATCTCTATGAAGCTATTGTGTTTCAATCAAGTGAGTTGTATTCTCCGCTCATGTTAGGGCTGTTTGGCTTAAAGCTTCCATTAGGATTTACTTATCATATATACTGCGTTAGAAGTTGCTAGCATAACAATACAACATTGGAAAAATTGCAGCTGGTTCATAAATTGCTCATTTCCTAAATGACGCATCAAATCGAGTTCAATTTTTTTTCCTGGGACAAATCTAGTTCAGTTTAATTCAAAAAATATAATGTTACAGATTTCTTGATATTTACTTCCCATTGTACCACTGCTTACAAAAATTTTACACCATATCTATCCCTAACGTTCAGGATGAGCCAGCAGGCAGAATCTTGGAACTTTGCATCCTTCACTTGGCAATGTCAGAAATAACAGTGCTAGAAACACGACACCCGATTGTCATTAACGAGGTACAATCTTCTATACTTTCATAACTTGTAGGTATATTTGTTTTATTCTTAACAAAAAAGAAAAAAGGAAAATCTAACTGTATTATTCCCTTGCCAAATGTGCTTCATTTAATTAAACATGGCTGATTGTGAAGGCTGTAGATCTTGCTAAACGGTTCTGTGATGGATCTGCACCCCGTGTTATCAATGGTTGTCTTAGAACATTCGTGAAAGGTATTGAAGAAACTGGTGGTTTAACAACGGCCTTGGGGTATAAACAGAAAGTGGTCACATGATGTATGAAGTGATCTTGTTTGGAAGTTTTGTTGTTTTGTAATTGGAAATTCTGATGGTTGTTTGGTAGGCTGAACAGTCTCAATTTGGGAGTAATGCTTTAGTAACTTTGTAGGTTTTGGAAAACAATGGAGGAAATTACTTTTCTGTTTCCATTGAAGTGGAATCTAATCTACAATGAGAAATGGAGGCCATGGAGGCAGCCAACCAGTGTTGTAATAGCTGAAAATTTAAGAATTATTATGTACATGATAAATGTTGATATTCAGATAATGTCATGAGTAGTAAGTTAAATTGTTCACTCA